TTGAAAAGTGCGAGGAATTTTCATATGTGCTCTCCACTGTTGAAGAGCTGGCGGCGACGGATGGTGTGCAGGATAGCGATGTGGACTTCGAATTGGGACGACTATACTGGGTTGGTGGTTCGGATTACCAGTGCTTTGCCATTTTTGCATTTTATGCTACCACCTCCAGGTTGGCTCCATATTGCACTAGGGCCAAAGCAATGAGCGCGAGAGGTGAAGGGGGACGACTAGGCTGGCCTGGCCTGCCACCTAGTCGTATTCGATCACCAGGCATACCTGGTACCAGCGCCGCTGCACCGCACATTGCATTCCTCCGCATCTCGTTCACTCCTACGACTGATGCCAAAAGGGTCTGTTAAGCTAAAATCAGTGGCCTGTATGTCTGTGCATTGACCTTCAACGTTATACACTACACCGAAACCTGTGTGGAGCCGAATATCATCAAAGCGAATATCCGAACATCAGTGGAGCATAAATGGCTACTGTGTTAGGATTTAGCAGAGCAACTGCTCCGTCGTTTTGCTTCTCCTTTATCGATGCTTTTTTCATGAGAGACAACGCGAGAACTCCGAATCAAATCGTAAAATTCCCGTTATCGATTCTTCTGATGAGAGCGTCGAAGACAAACGGGGCAGCGTTTGAGTGCTCATTGGTTCTGGTCCCGACTATGATCCCGAGTTGTCTTGAAAGCGAACGACATCCGCAAATAAAAGCGAACGACATCCGCAACGGTTCCACACAGGTTTCGGTGTAGGAGGTCGTATTGGGTCGGCGTTCACGTTTTTAGTTGGTGCCATCTTTTGAGATGAACAGCGTCTCATCGAGGACTTCTCGGTCGTGCCAGAGGAGGCGGTTATGGGCCGTAGAAGGCAGCACCTTTTTCGCCTTTCAGTGCATCTGGGCGGCACAGCTATGCTTCACCAAGCCGGCTCTATTAGGGAAGAGCTACACAGTCAGTACATAGTTGGCAATTTTCTTCGGCATGGCGTCCATGGACAGGCTCCTGTGTGTTTGGCTGCGGATGTGGATTCATCGAATACGACCACGTGGCCGGCCACGTCTGGCTCATTGCTCTGGCCCTGGTGCAATATGGAGCCAATCTGGAGATGGCACCATAAAATGCAAAAACGGCAAAGCCCCAGTAACCGTCCCAATTCGTAATCCACATCGCTATCCACCACACCATCCGTCGCTGGTAGTAGCTTAATCGTAGGGAGCACACATGAAACCTCCCCGCACTCTTCAAAATTTTCAACATGTGGCCCCCTTTTTTGGCTACCGTTCACGCTATTTTCAATGCATGGCCCACTGGCGCCTTCTGCTGTGCGGACAGTCGGCGCCATGAATGAAACAAACGAAGCTTAGTGTGTTAAAACGGCAATTTCTGACGAAATCATTTTTGCTCCTTTTTTGGCATTCAGAAGGCCATTTAGCGGAAATGGACCATAGCTCTATACTCAGTGCTCATGCCCCTATACCATCCAGAAAACCATTTTCAAAAAGCGTCCCACGCCCTGAAAGACCTTCCTTGTAAGGGAAGACTGTTCGGGCTCCGGGCTCGTCTATTTAAGAGTGCACCAGCGAACATGAAAAAAATTTCTATTCACCGTAGTGTCTTGATTCAGTCTGCCGCAATATTTTACGATGGAAGTCTGGATTATTTCATGGACCGAACATCAGGAACCCCTCAATGGGTCACCGATTTACCAGTAAGTAGTTTGGGTCTCTGAACGCACTTAAGGATTTTAATTAGTGTTACCAACGGCAAATTTTGCCGGTTATCAGATTTTTCCGACTGATCTTTCTCTTATCATACGTATGACTCTGTCGAGATGACTTACGCTAAATGACTGATCGAATTTTCAAAGATTGCTTAAGATTTATCAATTCTAGCTTCATCAGCATGAATACTATGACGAATCGAGAAGAAAAGAAGCTGAAGCAAAACTCACGGTCTGTTTTTTCAGCTAAGTTGTAGCAGATGTAGTTAAAGGCACAGTTCACGATATTTTGAGGTATCTGTGTACATAGTCTTGGAAGAGTGATGGAAGTGTTATTCCAAAAGGCGTAAGAAAATACGAAAATCGGATATGAAGAAAAATACAAGGCTACAAAAGAGTAGTAAAATCAGGTGTTGAACGATAATGTGACGACGATTGTTGCATGGAAGAAGTATCTGGACTGTTCTGGAGCTGTTCTAATGTGTGTGCCATTGCCTTCTGGTTGCAATGAGCTGCCTGCATACAATATGCGCCCCGATGCGAATGGTGCAACCTCTACACCCAGTCCAAATTTGTTGAAACTCGTCCACTTTTGGGTGTGTACGATGGCTTTGCAGGTTTTAGCGGTCTTACTACCCCCATCTAGACTGCTTTTTGACCCTACAGCCTTTTGCTATTCCTGAGGGGTCACAGGTTTACCCTCTTTGTCTCAGGGAGGGACCTCAGAAACTGTTCTGATCGTAAACTGTGCCTTTGATGTTTATCAACTCGTAATTTCTGACGGCACTCCACTGTTCGAATATTCGGTGAAGATTCAATTGGATGGGGCACACATAACAGTGTTGGTATAACAAGAAATCATTACTATGCTACATTGCCTTAATCCGTGTTCTACTAGCACTGTATCGGAGGCGAAAAGGAAGTTAGGCACGAGGCGTCTATGCACCATCGTACTGTTCTAGCCAGGGTATGCAATTTTCTAACTGATCTTCAGAAGCATAGGAGCACTGCCGCAGGTGAAATGATCACCTAGTGCAAAAGGCAGAGAAATCGCCTATGCCTATCTCTGGGCTCCATCCCTTCTAAGACTCATTTGAAAATTGCATACCCCTGATGTCACACGGAATGACACGTAGCACCATGCTATTAGGGTGTCCGGAATGGTTTGGGAAAGTTACGCCTATCGATTATGGAAGCATGTTGCTCACTAACACGCTAGAGTAGGACTACAGATCCAGTAGCAAGGAACGGGCATTGTTGAAAGATCAATACTGTAGCTGTTTGGTATTTGACGGGGTCGCTCCTCGAAGTAAGCAGTCACTGACCGAACGACGTGCCATCGATGGGGCTACCGGAGCCTTCTGCTCCACTAGTGAGAAATTGCTCGCTTCAGCCACCAGGCTTGCTCTTACTCCCCCCTTACTCACTGATGAGCCACGGGAGTCAACTCCACTTGGTGATTCGTCTGAGTAAACGTGGCGAAACGGATCACCATTTGTTGTTTCTTATAACTCGTGTTGAGCAACTAGTAGCATTGTTCTCTTTTCTCTTGGAATGAGATATGATAACTGATGGGCAGTGTCCTCTCTTGTCACGTACCATGGATGGCACGACTGCTTCCTCTGAGATTGCTTCGATGAAGTTCGTCGAAGCGAACGTCCACGTCTCGAATACCGACACTGTTCTGTACTCCCGTCGGAGGGACCCTCTTCAAAGTGGCAGGAAATTGAAACGACGATCTTTGCTTCCTAATCCATCATTCACTTCGTTCTATGCAAAAGTAACTTTCATAGCATGACCTTCGCTAATATCCCACACTTCTTGACTGAGCACAGTGAGACCGAGTAAGAGTTAGTGTGAGCCAGAAGCTCCTCAAGTGTAAATGAGCCACGACATCAACTGGCTTCATCAATGTTCAAGATTAAAAATAGATGCTACATGAAATACACAAGGGAAATTAATGCCTACCAGTAGACGTAAGGCTTTGCTACAAATGAGGCGCTCATGACGAGAAGGACATGAGCTAATTCTACCACTGCCCAACCGGAAATTTCAAAACTGTTTCACTACAAGGAAATTTTTAATTATGATGGATAATGTTCGGCCGCGAGGACGTCGATGGATGAGCTGGAAAGGCTTGGAATAACGTGACCACCTCACTGCCCACATATTCAACTGACCCCATCTCATAAGTCTGCCGTACTTTCAGAGCCCATAGGCTTCAGAGGTAAAAAAGTTCAATAGTCTTGATGAAGTCAACTAGACAGTAGATGAAATGAATTGCGTCGCGTCCCTCTTCTTTTTGGAGGAATGGCACCAGTGCTCTGTTCGGTCGAAGGAGAGACACGGTGGCTAACATTAAGAAGGGCCACTACTTGATTACTGATCTCACTTTATTGTTGTGTGAAATTTCTCAAAGCTTTCCGGACACCCTGATAATTTCTCACTATACCTACATTGTTTCTCACTACACCCCTCCCCCAACTACATTTTTACAGAATATTCGTATCACCCCATTTCGTCAAACCATCATCGACGTAAGAGGGCAATGTTGGTTTCTTTCAGATAGACGACCTCCCACCTGGAACAACAATCATAAGGGTACGTTTCAATGCCGGTCTGCTCATAGAGTGAAAAAGATGGCACTCTCAGGAAGAGATGGATTCTCAGGTTTCCATAATATATGTATGTAATAAGTGAGCGCGCCTAGCGGAGCGAATCGTGTTGCGCGAGCGTCGAATAAGGAAGGCTTACTTCAAGACATTAGCGTAAAATGAGCCATACATGACCTGTGATTATGAGGTTCCATCACTGAGTGGTTAACACACTACTCATAATAAATATAGGGCAGTTATGCTAATGACATCGACACGGTAACAGGATATAAACGTGGCTGTAGGCATTGAGGGCTTCGCCCTTGAGATGAGAGTGGCAGCGGGGGATGAGATGAGAAGAGAGGAAGGAGACGATAGTGTTCACGGTGACATCCACCAGGGGTTCCCTATGATGTCGGCTTGAGAATTCCGCCCTGAAGACTGAGTCATGCTTGCAAAGGTTTCATAGTGATTTTACAGTAAACCAGACGACGTTAAGCCGATCCCAAAACGAAAAAATACACGGTAGGCCTGATGGGATTCAAAGCTGTCCATACAAATTTCATGGGTGGTAGTCTCCACAAGTGAAGTGCTTAGAGAAGTGCCATCAGTTTCCGAGTTTGTCGAGGACTCAACATCCTTCCCTCCGTCGCAAGACCCCGCCGTGTCGTCATAGTACTCATTTAGCAAATTCCACATTACCTATCCTACAGCAGAGCAGAACCAAATTCTAGCAACTGATGATTGCCTGAAGACAATTAAGCTTTTCGCCATGCGATTCTCCTTTCGTCCTACCTTCGGCCAGGATTCCCATACTGCCTTTTAATGTCCTAGCAGAATGAACATTCTAGGCTTATAAAGCAGCATTTATGAGCCTCCCCTCGTGCACAAATTTTTGTGCTACGAAACCATGTTCTTCGCTGCTTTTAACCCCAAATTTTTCAGTTGAAGCTAAAACGTTTCAAGCTTCCACAACTTTCAGGAGCAAGAAGTGCGCTCTGTGAAACTAACGAGAATGGGCCGGGATGGAAAGCAAACCTCATCGCCAGAAGACGTAACCGTAACCAGATCGGTACTCCAAATTTTTCTTGTTTCATAGCAAATGCGGTGTTTGCCCCACTCCAAAATATTTCCAAATTCCAAATCATTCGGGTGAGGGAAGAGATCTTGTACGGAAATACTGTTATGCCGACCCTAACTAGTAAATCCCATATGATGAGCAAATAATCGTGTGGCATTAGTCTGATGGAACAGCAAACAAAAGCATGTTCACATGCTCATCTACCATCACAAGTCATCGTGTAGGCGAACCAATGTGGATAGTCAGGTCCAGTCCCAATCCGAATCAGCTTAGGAACGCCTATGGTAGATCTGCGATATGATTTGATGACTTGAACTTCAATTACAGCAAATTTCAAATGTTTAGTGACTTTTGCTTACAGTATACAATTAATGCTCCCGGCATGGGAAGTGCTACTGGACGACGAAGTTGGAAGAAACCCAGTGATGCCGGAGATTCCAAGGCATGCTTACACCATAGAGAAGTTCTTATAATTCCTCTGTTTTGATATTTCTAGTTATGGGAGCAGTTTAGAAAATAGAGAAGTCACCTTGTGGACTGGCGCAAAAGCCGGTAGACACAAACGTGAAGGCTGGAAAAGCCGAAAATCTGTGTCCTATATTTCCATGTGGAGGTGCACCAGCTACACCGCAGAAAACCACAGAAGTTCAACAACGTAAAGCTGCTGGAAAAGATGCGGAAGCGAAGCAAGTAGAAACACTTCCCTGCAAGATGTCCACTGTAAGAGAATCTCATTTCCTAGACTTTAGCTCCTTACAGTTAGGCCAGTGTATGAACAGCATCTAATATGGGTTGTCGAGTTTTTTGGAAAATTTTTCGAGACTTTGTTCTGCTAAGAGGAAAGCCAAACTAGTATAAAAAAGTGACGAGTATATGATTAGCTTTGCTAGAATCATCCCTGTACTATGATTCGTAATAATTAGCGCGGTCCTTCGGCAGCGACTCTGGTAGCAATCTAAGCCATGTGTTATGAATACATGCAATAGCGCTCAAAAGTCTTCGGTGAAGTGCTTCTTCAACCGTACTTTTCAATCGTAACTCCCTTCCTAGTAGATCTAATCATGCAAAATTTCTACAATTTGGTGCGTGGATGTATTGGGAATATTTACCACAATCAACTTGCAATCTTGTCATGTTCCTGATATCCCGAAGAGCATGAACTTAAAACCGAGTGAGAATACAGATGATGGTTTTTCTAAAATCTCTTTCCTTTTAGTCATGTCTAAAGTGCACGAGCGGTATTGTCGATTACAATAGATGAGAAAAATGCACATAAGGTGCAAATAAGTGCAGAGGTCAACAACTTCACTTTTCGCAAATTCTGCTACCGCAACAAACACCTTGCTCTAACTGTGGATACTGCAGCAGTCAAATGTTGTTGGGTAGGATGAAATAAGCTCCAGTTGAACATATTCAAATTTTGCGCGACTTGGTCTAATACGAAAAACGATATGAACAAAAAAGCACCAAAGCATTTCACCGAAGACTTTTGAGCGCTACTGTAGATATCAGTCGGGCTTGAGAAGGCGCAGAGGTGCTTTGAGTGGTTCTAGGAGGAAGAATATTGTTTTTACCTATGCCAGAGGAGGGGAAAAGCCGGAAGGGAGACATACCATAGCACGATGCCGCTACGGGTGTTCCTGTGATTCCAACTGTGTGCGGCAAATTGCGCGGCGAAACCGTGGCGATTCGAACGCTCTGGGGCCTATTATTGGGGCACAAACCTGAAACAGCATAGTTAAGAGGGTCAGCTCACACTACTAATCTACTCTACTTGAAATTTGGGCCCCAATAATGGACGCTGAAGTCGTCAAAATCGTCATGAATTTTGCCGCGCAGTCCGAGTCGCACGAATGTACCGTCCCCCGTGCCACTACAGATCGAAATCACAGCTTTGAAATACCCACTTCACTCTGAATTTC